GTAGGTAAAGAAAAAGACAATGGCTCGCGCATGTAAAACGCATGGAAGAAACCACGCATAGATCTTGAAGGGAAATCCATGGGTATGAGACAGCCGAGAAGACCTCCAAAATGATGGAAAGACAGTTGGCAGTCCATCACCCAAGAACTCCTACAGAGGCAACCTTAAAACTAACAGATCGACTAGATCTCAAACAAGTAAAAGAAGAAGAAGATGACAAAATGTTATTATTAATCTTCAAACTAGTTAAATAATATTATGTAGGTGGCGCCCCTTACAAGTAAGAGTCATATTGCATGGAAAATTTCTCATATTAGAAAAAAACAAATACCAATTTTTTTTATCCAAATATCGATTTAGTTCAGGAAGTTTCCCGAATACAATTCTGATCACACCCTGCACAGATTATACAAATATATGGTGAGCATATTTATGACAACAATTTTCAAATAGATGGGTAATCCCAGATCACATTGCCAAGTAGCCCTCCACACCACAAGACCTACCATTAATAAAAAATACTCTTACTTCTGTTTACTGTTAAGCCACATATAAAGCAAAAAAATTCACAGTCCTTTACAAAGATGCAACCGGGGTGGCATTGAAAATGATGAATAAAAACGTAAAAATATGATTAGTGTTAATATGAGTTTATTACATACATATGTTTAAATAACGAACTTAACAAAAAACAACAGATTTAAAGATTCACTGAAAAAGTAGTAATGTTAACATTAAATATAACACTATCAATAATAATTATGCGATCGCACCTATCCGTAAAACAAGCAAGCAAAACAACCTCGAAAAAAACAAAATAACATACAAAACATCAGGTTAACATGATGACAGATCATGATCAATGACAGATAAAGAATTCTTACGGAAAGTTACACTTTACAATATAACTTTTTACCTGTTAAAGGCAAACCCCATTTAAACACAAAACTTTTTAATACCTACTACTGTATCTAAAAGACTTTTTTTTAAATTACTAAACTCCTAGCCACGCTTCTGTTTTTCTTGGCTGTTGTGCGTCACGTCACAGATTAACAGGCCCACGTTTGCACCACAAGGCGATGCTGCAAACAACTAGGTACACCGGTCGTAGAAATTTATGTTATACAACTTGTAGTCAATCTACATAAATATTATCAAAATTTTTTTTTTCTTTTAAAATGTGTTCAGATTTTGTAAAAAGTATAAGTCAAAATCGCAAAACTTAAATTTGATATGAGTTTCTTAGTTTTTAACTAATATAGTGGCGAATTACAAAAATTCCTTTTCAGTGAAAATTAATGAGTTAAATAAAATAATTTAATAAATTACTAGCTTTTTCTCGCAACTACGTTCGCGTTACACCTCGAATCGTTTATGCATTGATTTAAATGATTTTTTACTTCTTTATAGAGAGCTAGTGAACATATAGATGTTTTTTATTTTTCATCTTTTTTTTATTTATTAAGAGCACTAATACTCTCTTTATAGGTTATTTTTTATTCTTTGAAGGATAATTGAGGAAGATATATTTCCTTATGATGTCACTAAATAAACCCTTGTATAAAATTTTATACTGTCTGGTTTATAATGTTATAGTATTGCATTTTCGTACAGCAAACTTTCATTCCCTATTTTACTCCCTAAGGGTATAAATTTCATAAATTCGCTTTACCTTTGTGCCAATTTTTATGTGTATAATCCAGACGTCACCAAGTTTTATATAAATTTTTACTAACTTTACCCATTTGGTTGATGAATTTCAAAAATTTCTTCTAATTCTTTTTGTAGGATTTCATTCTTCTAGACGAAATAGTAAGGAATTTTCATACAACAAACTGTTCCGAGATAATTTTACTCTCTAAGAGGATGAATTTCCTAAAATCGCTTTGTGTAGCTAATTCACTAATGTCGTTTAAACGAACCTTTGTGCTAATATTTATGTATCTAAAGCTGGCGGCATCAACTCACTCTAAAATATCTAAAAACGTAATATATAATCTAACTGACACACCACTGACAATGACAACTAATTTATTTCTGGAGGTATTGTGTGTAGGTGTTTTCAGGTATGTTTTAGTATTTAGTCGTTTTACACAAAGAAATAGCCATTAAGCACTATAAAAATACTTCATAACAAATCTACACATATATACCTTTCATTTAAAAAAAGAATCATCAAGATTGGTAAAGCGCTTTCGGCGGGATGGATGCAACAAAAAAACCCTTTGAGCTTTTATATATGTATGGACTAATTATTTTTCCAACATATTTTACTTTGCAAATTTTTATAAATATTCAGACTCGCCAATATCGTACTCCACCGTGTCCAGCCTGTTTAGCCAAACGTAGGCCGATTCCTCTTCGGCGGCGTCGTGACCCTGGCCGAAGGAAGAGTCTTGAAGACGCTCATCCGCGCATAGGAATAAGTTGACTGCGTAGCGTATTGCGTATTAATCGATTCTGAAACTTTCTATCTCGTGTATAACATGTTACGCAAGTTTATTATTTTAATCTCGATTTTAATAGATAAATGTGTGAAATGCCACCTGAATATCTTCCGCCATGACATGTTTTTACTTTTTTGTTATGGTAAAGTGATTTGTATAAACTTTATTCAATAACGTATATTTTCCTCCATTTGTGATTTTTTAATTTTAAGCGAAAATTAAGTATAACATTTTAGGAAAAAGAAACACTGTAATATTTAAAAGAATAAGAAGAAATTAGTCTTATTTTGAAAGGAAAATATAGAAAAAACTCTTTCTATAGAAAAAGTCTTTATACTAACCAGAATCCGGTGACATATACGCGGTCTCACCGGAAACATTACTTATTACTTCGCATAACTTGAAGAATATCTACTTTTAATAATGAACACTTCAGAAATACACCAGTAAAAACATTTATTATTTGAGATTAAAACTCGAATTAAATTATAAATATTAGTTACCTATGTTGTTATAGCTTTTATAGGCCTGTTTAACGACTTAATAAGTTACCTAGCGAAAAAATCTGTGCGCGTACCTACCACTATTGTTACAGGTTAATTCGTTAAAGAAATATGTTACACAAGTTAAAAACGCTAAAATTTTAATGGTATTACTTGTGCATTATTGGCCTTATAATGTAATTTGTTGGAATTATATCTTCTTTAAATATAATTAGACTTTTTAACGACTTTTAAGTTACCTAGGAAAAAATCTGTGCACGTACCTACCAGTATTGTTACAGGTTAATTCGTGAAACAAATGTGTTACATATTATTCGTGGTATTAGTGGTATTATATTGGAATCAGCTTGGCATTAGTGGGGCATTATATGAGAAATTTTGGTATTTAATTGTATTTTTGGCATTACTTTGGCATTAGTATACAGACATTTGTCAGCGGTTTACTCCTTGTAGATAATCAAAAAGTTTTTTGATAAAATTTGCTTTTCATGTCAGATCATTTCTATGAAAAATTACATTAGATTTTTATTAAAGACGCTGGGTAATTAAAACATTGACTAATAAACCTTGTCCACTTTAAATACGGGGTCACGAAATATCCTCCTTGGAGTGTTTGGGTTAAGGGGTGTATAATAAATTAATCGTTGTTTTATAATAAAAACCATAAAACATTTATTTGTGAGTAAAATAATGCAATGGTTGGATATCTCTCCTTTATAATTCGGTGACTAAAAATACACTAAAATAATTAGAAAAAAAATCTTGTACTTATTTAGTAATTACGTCAATATTAATTAATTGACTTTCTAGTCTATTTTATTTTATGTACAAATATATTATTAAATTTTAAGCATTAAGTAATAAAACACTTTGTGCCCTCTTATATCGTAAAAGGTTACGAAATATACTCCTGGTTACACCCCTTACAGAAAACAGTGTAAGGGGTGTAAATAAATTGTATAATCACTGTTTTTTATAATAAAAACTATAAAATATTTCTTATTTGTGAGATTAAAAAAACAAAACAATGCATTGGTTAAAATAAGTACATTCAATACTGTTTTCAATTGTTAATTCAATAATGTGTTATAACATAATATAGCCATTACTATTATACTATTATTATTAAAATAATATGTGTGTAACATATTTCTTTAACGAATTAACCTGTAACAGACATTTATATGCCCAGTATATTTTTGTTTAACAAACCAATCAGGAAAAATCCAAAACCTACCGTTATAGGAGGTATAAGACGATTAAACTTATATAATGACAACTACTTATCGGATAACAAATTAATTACTACTGTCAGCTAGTTCAGCTACTGTCTAGGTAGAATTTACCTAGAGTACCTACACCTACCTATGATGATGTAGGTAGATTAAAGCTTATTTTGACGTTACCTCTCACTTCGGTGTCACAAGCTGAATTTTTCAGGGATGGAAGTACAGTACATCACAGTACATGATATGGGGACCCTTATTCCGAAAGTAGTACAAAATTAAACAGGGTAAAAAGGCACTATCATCAAAAATCGATATATTAATACCACCGTATAGAGAAAACAAATACTTATTTTTTGATCCAGTACAGAATAAAGTCTTCGTAGGGAGTAATTTTTTATAATTATTTACAAAAAAACATTTCCATTAGCGCTTATGACCAAAAAAAAACTTTAAACATGAATAATCATTTCAATCATGCGAAAATTTGGTTTAAAAATAGAGATTTTTTTTTAATATAACTTTCATTTAACGAAAAACGAAGGCCTAAATGAAAAAAAGAAACAATTTAAAAGTTTCGCTTATGTCTTGACAAGGTATCAAAGCAAACCCCATATTTTTTGCTTTTAAACTAATAAAGATATATCAATAAACAATTAGCGATGTAATGGTTTTTGCTGGCGCTGGCCGACTGCCGCCGCTGCGCCGAGATTTCCTATACCCTTGTATATATGACGTCATGGTGTGGCAAATGTAGCATTTTAATTCGATTTGGGCTCCCTTATATAGGATAACAGAAACATTTTCAATGTTAAAATACAAACCTTCAATTTGTTTCATCGGCGTAACTGACGAGCTAGTGTAACTCCAATTATCGTTGGAGCCGTAACTAAATTGCGAATGATACGAAACCGAAGAATTGTCCATTTGGCCACTAACACTATTGTCTTTTTGCCCGAATTGTTGCTGATGCATTTTTAAATATTCACTAATTTATAAATGTCCTTATCTGTCTTCTTACTTTTGTGTCGTCGTCTTATTGCATTGTAACTTCTGAAATTAAAAATAAATTTTATTTAAAAACAGGATATACCCACTACTTACTTATTAAATAATCATAATTTAATAATAGATATATTTTCAAAGATGTAGAATGTAGAATGGTAGAATGATTGGGAGGAGGGTTAGAGAGACTAAGTGCGGGTTTATATGCATTCGTCTTGCGTCGTCTGTCGTTGATTTTATGGAATTTTATTGGCCTATTTCAAAAATGACAGGTAATACATTAAATACGATTGGTGTGACGGATCGACGGACGACGCATGACGGATATAGGTAATCTCGCCTTTAAGTGTTTTTATTGGGTATGCACATTTGTGGATGTGCATATTATTTTGAATTTTTTTCATTGTCTAGGAAGTATATCCAGATTTTCCATTAATGATCAGTTTCCAAAAATATCGACATTAATTTATCAAATTTTCTGTTGTAATACCAAAAGTTTCAAGTTAAAATTAATGTGATATATTCAGTGTAAATCTATTAGTTCCAAACTACCAGCGCTTTCAGATGGAGCGGACCGTACGCGCGGAGCGTCCGAGCGGATGTTTTTTCAATATAGCTTATCCGGACGGAGCATACGCGACCCATGTGAAATCGTTCATATAAACTCATAGTACTTGCTCGAAGTCGCGGACGGTCCGTTTACAATCAACGGTCCGTTTACAACCTTTCAAGTTTACAGCGTTTACAGATGGAGCGGAGCGTTCGCGACGGACCGTCCGCGACTTTGAGCAAGTACCATGAGTTTATATGAACAATTTCACATGGGTCGCGTATGCTCCGTCCGGATGACCTATATTGAAAAAACATCCGCGCGTACGGTCCGCTCCATCTGAAAACGCTGTTAAATATTTATTTATTATGTTAAAAACCAATCAAAGTCCCATTAAATTATATCAACCAATACCATGGATATACCTACAGATTACGACAATTAACTTATACGGATAATTGATTAGAATTATAGTTATAGAAAATAAATAGAATGAGTTATGTAAATGAGGCATGAGGCATGTATTTATGTTAGCGTTTAAAAATTTGAAATTTTTAATTGCTTACATCATGGTAATTTAGAGTTTTTAAAACCCACACACGTACATTCCTCATATTTTGATTTTTTTCTACCTGAGCTTTTTCTGCTTTGGACAACGGCCTAGCTACATCGAAACACTGGTTCCCATTAGAACACCGAAATTAAGCGACGTAAGGCGATATTAGTGGATAGACGGGTGACCGGTTTGAAACTCTTTATCGTGCTGTTGTCCAATAAAGGCAAAAGTGTAAAATCTATTGACACGGGGCCGGATGAGATCGGTTATCTCGTGAGTAAGAGTTGTCCAGATTAGCCCTGGCAGCAAAAAGAAGACGTTAACTGAAATCTTTACTTTACTTTTTTTTTGCTTTGCCTGAGCTGAGTTGCCTGAGCTTGAGAGAACAACTAAATTACCATTTACAAGAAATTACACTTATTACACATTCAGCATTAATTTTGTATCATTTATAAATATAAAGAAGTATGTCCCAGAAATTACTTTTATATTCTATAACAAACTTAAGTAAATTACAATTACAGAGCTGGGCGACGATGGAATGTAGATCTAGAATGTTTAGGAGGGGGATAATCACCGCAACCTTAGAGATCTATTATGTGTGTTCCCTTTTCTTGAGTTATAACGAGATATAACTCATCATACAGTCTCAGGGCTTTGACAAAAGCCAGTATCTGAAACGGCTCCACAGTGGCCAGCTTTCCATGTTCGACATCGAGGAGACAGTGTCCTGTGAGAACTCACAACAATTCAAAAATGGTTTTTACTTAAATCAAGGAAAATCTTTGATTTTTCTCGGTCGTAAATTCTGAGGAACTTTTTCTAGTGTCTTAGACCAATGGAGGATTCCCATTCCAGGTTACAAATAAAGTCTTCCAGGTTCTTGATTTTCGCTTTGAGTAGGTTTCCGCTTGAAAAGCAGAACGGTTCTGGTCCAGTTAGTGGAGTGTTCGCTTCTTTTTTAGGTAGATCGTTTCCTTTTCCCAGAGTATCTTCTCTTTAATTTCTTTGCGTAATTTGTTCAGCTGCTCTCTAAGCACTCTTGGACTAACTTCGAATTGACGGTTACTGAATTGATCGCTTTTAGCGCTGCTTGACTATTGGATAAAATGGCTATTTCTTGTTTTCGATAGTTCCCATCTAAGATAAATTTTATTGTACGCATCTTTCGATAGCGTTGATTTCTGCCTGAAGGATGCATGCTGGGGTAGGAATTCGACGTTGATACCATTCAATTGTCGACGTAACATTTTTGGCACAACCCCCCCTCGCACAATTATGGTAAATTTATATTTAAAGTAAATTTAAATAAGCCAACATCTGGCCAAATAAGCTTTACTAACCAATTGGGATTGGGATAACATCTTAATTTATAATAGAAACAAAATAATTATTACTAGTGCATGACGAGTCGTAACTAGATAATTTATTATGGTTTGTTTTGAAAATAGCATTAAATAATTACAAAATTGAAGCAATAAGAGACACAGATTTACTCAAAACGTTATTAAATTCGAAACCTTTAATAAAATATGTCAATGGTTACTAATAGTCAATTTTCATAAAATTTATAGGAGTTATCACTCGTCCATCTCATTATTAATATTAATTTTGTCGAGTGGGATGAACCTGATGATAAGTTCAATAAATGTGAATCTATAAATTCTCCATCCTTTACCAACTTGCTGATTTGTTTAAATTAGTACTGCGATGATTTGAAACTGTCCGCGTGTCTTTGAAACAGTTTAAGCAGATTTTTTATATTTTATTTGCGTTATGATTTATTTTGTTTATATTCTGGTTGCTTTAAAATTTATATATTAGAAATAATCTTGTCATTAACAAAACTTACGAAAGAAAACCAATTAAATAAATATAATAGTAATAAATATAATGGAATTTATGGTTTAAACTATTTTGAAATCAGCTTTTGAGCTACCTTACTCTGAGGTACAATTTTTTTTCTTTATTGCTTAAATTGAAATTTATGCTGAATATATTTTCTTTATTACATTTTTAGTCAAAGTCTCTCCAACAAGTTAAGGAAGATTTTGACAGAGGACATTCAAGTAATTACAAAAAATACATATCTGTGAATTAATATGACATACAACTGGTTGATTACCATCGTGTATTAATTTTTTCCTTCATTAAGTAAGGACAATCTTCGGATTACCCAAGGAGGTTTTAACAAGACATTGTCTCCTTAACGAAAATCTTAGTAGATTGAAACTAAGAAACAACGGCGAATGCAGATTCTGTGGGAAAAATGGGGAAACGCCAGAACACCTCATCACTGAGTGCGCCGAGACGAACATTCGTGCCACGAAGTTTGGTACGACTGATATCGGAGATGGAGAACTAACCTCTGTAAAACCGTCTCAGATACTGGCTTTTGTCAAAGCCCTGAGACTGCATGATGAGTTATAACTCGTTGTACATGTAGAATATCATTCTACATCTATAACTCGTTGTATTTCAAGAAAGGGGAATACAATAGATCTGTAAGGTCACAGTGATTATCCCACCTTCCATACATTCTACATTCTCTCTCTATTATCATGTATCCCCTCGCTGGACAGACTATAGCTGTTTCCCAAAAAAATTCATAGGCATTAAATCCGGCGGCATCGACGGCCAACGGCTGGGACTCTGGGACTTTAGCTATCCAATTATTCTTGAAATTGGCTGCAAATGATTGCTGATAATTTCGGCGTAGTGAGGCAGTGCCCCGTCTTGCTGGAAGAATATGTTTTCGAGTTCCATTAGGGACAGATCACCAATAAGGGATCCAAAGCCTACTAGTTGACAGTGGCGAACTTTTAAAAAATTTGTATTTTGAAAGGGGCCTGAACAAAATGTTTTTGTTTGTTTTAAGTTTTTTAGTTTTTTAAAGTTCTTTTCAGCGAAGGAAAAATATACAGGGTGTTCTATGTCAAAATACATTCTTGTGTTGATAACTCTTAACCGTAACAAGAACATCCTTCACACACAAACTATAATTGATCGATTTTAACCCACACTAAGACAATGAACACCGAACAACAAGCAAACCATGTTATATACAAAATACAAAATATCATGTGAATGTAATAAATTTTATATTGGCGAATTAAATCTAAATCGTTAAATGTTCGAATTAAAGGACATTTATTACAGATTATTTAAAAAAGGGTAGACTTGACCAGCATTCATGAAATACATGACACAGAATATGTATGTATTATGATGCAGAGTATGTATATGTATACCGGGTGCGTCTCAAAAGTGGCTCACCCCTATAACTTTTTTATTTTTTCAGATAAAACCATGATATTTGGTATGTTAGTGTATGACATAAATTGGGATTGATTGGCGTATTCAATTGTTTTCGGCCACTTCCGGTTTCACCGGAAATGACTACAACTTTTTATTTTTAAATAGCACCCTTGGTATTTTTTTACTTTATCTGATAGAAAATGACACTCTGAATCGAATGACATATCATATGTCAACTTTTGACATTTTGGCATATGGTTAATTTAAAATTGTAACATGTGGTTCATAACGACCAGTTGACTCAAAATACCAAGTGTGTGGTATCAAATTATTCGTAAAAAAATGCTTTTTCCAAATATGCTGATAAGCCACCCTCGGTCCATTTGGAAAAATTGAGATATGAGGCCAGGGCAAGACACTAAAAACATTATACGATCAAATCTATGTTTCCAAGGCTCCTTGATTAAGAATTAGTGTTTTTAACACAGCCATGGCACTCTAGATCGAAATTTAAAATAGAATTTGTTTTTGAGTGACTCAAAAATTGACATATGATATGTCATTCGATTTAGAGTGTCATTTTCTATCGATTAAAGTAAAAAAATACTGAGGGTGCCATTTAAAAATCAAAAGTTGTAGTCATTTCCGGTAAAACCGGAAGTGACCGAGAACAATTGAATACGTCAATCAATACCAAATCTTGTTGTTTTATCTGAAAAAATAAAAAAGTTATAGGGGTGAGCCACTTTTGAGACGCACCTGGTATATAATAAATGTAGGTAATGGGGTGGGGGGCGTAGGCATCTGTAGAGGTTAGTAATGTATGACTATTGTTTTTTTTTTAATTTTAATAAAGATTAAAAAGAGATAAGTAAAAATTGAAAACGAACAAAAGAAAAATCATACTTATACAGGAAGTTTAAGCTTTTTTTGGTTTTAGGTTGTGTATAATAGACGCTTCTGCTAAAGGAACTAATGTGTTCTTGGATATTTAGACACTTTAAATAGTTTTTCTTTGGTTTTTGCATCTAACGATGAGAGGAGATTTATAGAATGTTCAGCCATTGTTCAACGTCACGTCATTTATTGTCAAACTCTCTCAATCACTTTCCAACCAGATAAAAGAGATTGGTGACGCCGTTACGGCAAATTACTGCATATTCTTTTTAATAATTGGTATTGTCTCAAAGGTATTGATTGTCATTTGGTTTCCGGTTATAATTTTATTGACGGAAATCGATCAATGTCAAAACTAAAATTTGATTGTTCCTGTAAAACAAAATTCAATTTTTTTTTATTCCAAAATAGTCTCAAATATTTAACCAAAATGAACAAGAGCTCATTGCTAAGTTTATAAATTCTTTTTCTCGAGAAAGAGACGCTGGTAAAACATTCTTGGCCTGTGGACGCAGTATATAAAGTAAGTAAGTACAATGCAAAGGTACTAAAGGTGTTAAAGGGATCGTAACTGATGAAGAGTTCAATAAAAAAATAATAAATGTCGAAAAAAAACGGAACTCGCTCAATTAAGAATATAGGAACGTACTTAAAATTTTCTAAACAATATGAAATGAAGAAACAATATGAATATTTGACAAATAATGTGATCGATGGCTGAACAGTCTTTTACCCCCTGAAGGGGTTATTCAAATTTGTTTTACTAGTGAAATACCACTGACAATTTGATTTCCGTTTGGATTGAATGCAGCGGGGTTACAAAAAATAAATTTTTTTATTTTGTAGATTTTCTTCTGATGGTGAAAAATCCAGAATTCTTTTCAACAAACATTAATCTTCCCAAACAATTTTTTTACCATTTATTAATGATATTTACCTACCTTGTCTGTCTGGAATTTTCCCAATTATCGATATAATTAATTGCCCGTTCAAAAGACGTTTCGAGAAGTGCATTACCGTAACCGCGAAAAACTAATCACCCAGTTGACATCCGCTTTTCTCGACCGATTTCGTTACTCAAACGAAAGAAAAACTATTCGTACGCACGGCCGCGTGCCTTTTCACGAAAATTCACCAAATTTTCACGGCCTGCCCGAATTTAATGAACATCGATGACTGACTAAAAGTTTTCACACATGTTGTCAACGTGTGCCATGACAGTGTCTTAGATGTGTATTTGTTTTCGGGGATGGTTTTCTCCCTACCACATCTTTCTCAGTAAAAGCGACTTAAATCCAGAACATGCTGTTTTCTCTCTTTAACGTGTGCGATTGGATGGAGAGAGGGAGGTATCCAGAGAACGCGTCGGAGTTGTGGCCTAAGCTTTTTTGGATGCTGTTTCAGGTTAGTGGGCGGGGCGTACACTGGTTTCAGTGCGGTTTCAGCTGAAGTATAGTCCCAGAAACAACGACGACGTAATAAGTGACTTAAAATAATTAATTTGTTGAAAAATTTGAAAATTAGGTAATTAGTTTATGAATATTAATTAACGAAAATAATTAATCATAGTAAATTACTTTAGCATAAATCAATTTAGTAAAGATTAATAGGTACTATATAACACCCGTTATATGAACTTTGGATGCCAAAACAAGAATATTTTTACTTTTAACACTATATGGGAATGGAGACTAAATTGGATTATATATTTTTCTCGTCACTTCGACTTTTTAATGAAAATCTCAAAAATACTTAAACTTCTCATAAAGCTTATGGCTGTGCTTATGGTCTTTTGGAACCTCTTATCTCCAATACCACTTCCACACATACAGGGTGTCCCACTTAAGATGGATACAAGCCAACATCTTGGTTGTTTGTTGAGCGATCTTTTTCATTTTTGGCAGGAGGCTGTATGGCTATAAGACTTATATTTTGCCCAGGGTAAGAAATGCGATACGTCATAGACGTACGTTTTAATGGGGTTTGATATTTTTCTAGTCAAGGGTAAACTGACAGGGAAAAAAAAGGGTAATCTGAAAGGGAGTACAGTATTTATATTGCAAATCTGATAAATTATATAGAATCCTCCTTACACAAGATACTTAAGTTCTAATTTTGATAAATATTGACACAGGGTGTGTTATTAAAATAAGACATTTTTATTTTTATTATTATTTTTTTAAGTACTTACGACGCCACTGGATAAACAACTGGTTTATTATCAATAACCAATTATAACCAATTATCAATTAATAATCGTTTTAAGTTTTCAGATAGCTTCCATAATAATTAAGATACGATACAAAAAAACTAAATATTTTCACTTCATTTTGTTTACTTTAAAAAATTGTTTTTTAAGTTTGCTAATACCGATGAATAAAATGAGTTACAAAATAATTTAAAACCCCATTTTTTAATGGAATCTGAAATATGATTTTTATAAGCTTTATTGAGGAATATTTTTAAAAATCCAAATAGTTATTTAAATCAATCACTATTAACTTTGAAAAATATGCTCTAAACAAAGATTTATAAAACTATAACGAACTAAAAATCAACATCTTCGACCGTCTTCGACCAAACTTAAATCGATTATTAATTGATAATTGGATATAATTGGTTATTGATAATAAACCAGTTGTTTATCCAGTGGCGTCGTAAGTACTTAAAAATAATAATAAAAATAAAAATGTCTTATTTTAATGACACACCCTGTATCAATATTTATAAAAATTAGAATTTAAGTATCTTAGGTAAGGAGGATTCAATATAATTTATCAAATTTGAAATAAATACTGTCCTAAAGGTAGTTGACTCTTGACTTGAAAAATATCAAACCCTATTAAAACGTACGTCTATGAGGTATCGCACTTCTTACCCTGGGCAAAATGTACGTCTTATAGCCATACAGCGTCCTGCCAAAAATGAAAAAGATCGCTCAACAAACAACCAAGATATTGGCTTAAGTGCGACACCCTGTAGGTAAAATATAGCAGAATTATTGTATCTTACATTCCTCGAGAAAATGTTTCGTTGCTTTTTCGTTTAACTAAACTAGACTAAACCAAGTTTCTTCACATAAAACTTATTTAGATATATAAAGTTAGTTTATAATATTTTTAGCGATTTTTTTTAATAGAAGCTTTAGACCAGTTGAAGAAGAAATTAACTCCCTTTTGCGAAAGGGAATTATTCTTCTGAAAAAGTGTTGTTTAAAGTTTATATGGTAGGGCAAAAACAATATATGTTTTAGACAATAATTTACTTAGTAAAGATATAAACCACATAAAAGGAACTTGAATAAAATTGATTATCTACAATCATTTATTGGCACATTAAAGGAAATAAAAATCAAAAACCATAATAGAAAACACACAACGAAGATACAATTTCATACGTACCGAAAAATAAAAATTCATTTCCAAGCCAATTGGACGCCGTCATCTTTTTTCGATCATATACGGTATCATGTGAATGTGATAAATTTTATATTGATCTTAAACCGTTAAATAGTCGAATTAAAGAACATAAATATTATTTAAAAAAGAGGAGATTAGACACTAGAATATAGAGACAACTAGAAATAATATCTTCTACATATATATAAAATGCTAATGTTTATCTGTATCGTCTCTACTGAAGTAACGACTTGCTCTAGAAAGTTGATTTTTTTACTAAAAGATAGCTAATTAGCTCTTCTAAAAACTGTCGTCGCCGGATTTTTTGTTTTTTATTTAATTAAAAAAAATAAAAAGTATTTTTTTCCTGATGTCGTGGCGGATGCGCCAGGCTTCAACTAGTGATAATATAATTAATAATATTAAATATAATATAATTTAATTCCTCAAGTGAAATGTGACGACAGCTACTATATAGCCTACTATAAGCGATACCAATTAAACTTTTAGTTACGTAATGGAAGGCACAATTTTTAAATTTATTGTTGCCAACCATGGAGATATTCGGCGCAGAGCTGACTAACGGTACCTAATTTAAATTTCGCGCTGGGGATTCAGGTGGTAGTTCTGCTGTAAAAAATGTCAAGCTACCGCATTTATTTATATATTTCCTGACATTGTCATTCGTTTTGACACTTTCTACAGTTTTGTATTACGAGTTTTTGGTTTAAATAAATAGTGTTGTGATACGTGATACTTTAAGCTTAAAAATGTTTACTAGCAGATCTTGCAGTCGAAGATTGTTCTTTTTTGAACCTCTTTTAGTGGGAAGTGGGTACAAGATAGCTTAAGAGCCGTAAAAAACTCATTGCAACTTTATTAGAATATTTTGAACGGGAAAGCGGCAGTAATGGCCCTTTATGTCCCTTAAGTGTTGTTAAGAAGGTGAGTTTTGTTGATGTAAATAATAACTGTTTATATGTTTATAATTAACTTATTTTTGTTTCCTATAATATTTTGATTAAAAGAAAATATATAAAAGTGGACAGCGTTGTGTCGGTCAAGCTTAATCACGTGACTAAAAGTTTATTTGGTATGAACTGTATATGAACTATCCCAATACTTAGTAATATTTGTAAATAGATTAGTAGAGGGGCAGTTTTTGTTGATCTAAAGTTGTAGAGATTGTTTACATACAATTTCTGTACTATTTGCGCATAAATACATATTAGCAGGAAACTATAAGGCAAATTTAATATCTAAAAAATATAGCGCTCCCTATAACGAGAAAAATGTGTAAGATTTTATTTCTAAATCTATTGTTTATTGTTTTCTGTGTTTTGCACATTGATTTAAAAATTAGTGTTATCAAATTTTGCAAATTAGGGAGACGTTTTTTGAATCCTCTTACTAATCGGTGAACTATGATCTATGATAAAGTTTCTGTTAGTGATGGGAATAATCGAATTATTTTCACCATCGAATAATTAGTAATAATTCATATTTCACAATCGAATTAATAATTCGAATTATTTAGTAGAATTATAAATTTAACCTAAAAATAAATTCGTCCCAGCTAGTGCTCGTCTAGGGGCTATTTTAAACAAATCGGAACCATTCCATTGCCAAATTGCCATACCTATATTCTATCATTGAATAAAGAATAAAAAATATATTCTTTATTCAATGTATTCTATTAACTGTGCCGAAGCCGTTTAATAAACTAACCTAACCATAATTTATAGTTTTAAATTTAAAAGTGCCGAGTTTATGATTGTTATTGTTATGGCCTTTTATAAACATTTCAATTCCTATTGAAAACCTCCTCTCTAAAATAAAAGCTTCTTCTAAAAAGATATATGTATGTCCTTGTTTACGTGTGGTTCGTATTTCTTTTTATTTTATTAGTGGCAATCAATAATTATTTAGATAAAAGAAGAAAATAATTTTAGTGTTCGGCAGGTGTTCGGTGAAATTTGGGTGAGATGGAAATGAACCAAATAATAGTAGTATTCTTTCGTTCTGAATGAAATGAAAATTTTCACTTAAACTGATTTATTCCTACGTGGTATAGGAAATAACAATGATTTCTGGATTTTTCTATATCGGATCGTTCCTTTCTTTTTCGATTCCCTTTATAAATCAGTTTGAGTGAAAATTTTCAGTTGGTTCAGAACGAAAGAATACTACTAATTACTAATATTCGTCCATAAGAGGTTATATTTTATGTTCATTTGTAATTCGGTTACCACAGATATAATATAAAATACTACTAATTTTTATCTCGATTATATCGAAAAAGATAATCGAATTAGTTAGTTTTAATTTATTATCGAATTAGTCGAATTATTTAATTCGAATTTTCCCAACACTAGTTTGTTTCTGTCAAATTAAACTTATTGTTACTTAATCTTAAATTATAAATCTATAAACTACAAAAATGAATTTAAATATGCATTATGGATGGTTTCAGGAAACTTTATAGAGTCCAGCGACAAATTCCAGCATCTCACGGCGACATGGACCCGTATCCTGAAAATTCTTCCGCTGACTATACAGGGCGGGTCCAGGAGCAACTCCCTCCCACTCGCGGTACTATTTTGGTCCACAGGCAGTGCTGTTCGAGGCTACCGAGCTCCGTTTAATCAAACATTGTGTAAACAGTCAATAAAATTTTTTCCACTGTCGACTTCGCTCGGCGCCGAATGCCTGAAACCCATAAAATCTCGAATATTTTATACAATATAAATCAGTGCACTTTATGGGCAGAGTACTGCCGGCATAGAAGAGAGAAAAAAATGTA